TACAATAACAACTTCGGCTTATGAAGATCTTGTCTACAAGCTGGATTCCTAGGATGATAAGTGAGCCCCACAAAAATAATATACCCTACCTGTACAGTTATAACTGTTTTATATCTATGTATCTGGCTTTCTAACTGAGCTATTCTACCCTTTAAATTCAACTCTGTATTATCCTGCATCTGTCGTCTTCTATCTAATTGAGACTGGTATGTTTCTGATTGTTGCTGTAAAGAATTGAAAAAAAATGTACCCATATAGAGTCGAATTTACCTCAATAAGTGTCAAATTTACCCTCTTCAGAGCCTTATATACCCTAGTAGGGCTAATATCTACCCTACAAAGAGTCAAATATGAACAAATTTGGGTCAAATGTACCCAAAAAAGAGTCAGATTTACCCTAAAAAATCAAATCTACCATAAAGTTAAACGTGCAAATTTTCAAAGAGTCAAAACTATTCATCTGAAAGAGTCAAATGTACAAATCTGAAGAGTCAAATGTACAAATCTGAAGAGTCAAATATAACTGAAACAAATCTGACGAGTCAAATATAACTGAAACAAATGTACAAATCTGACGAGTCAAATATAACTGAAACAAATGTACAAATCTGACGAGTCAAATATAACTGAAACAAATCTACAAATCCAATTAACCAAATCTAAAGAAATCTTACTTGTATAAAATCACATTTCTCCACCAAGCCACGATTCTGTACCTCCAATGTTTCTATCTGTTTTATTAAATTACGTTTTTCTAACTCCATATCTTTATAACGATGATGCAACTCCTAAACATAAAACAATTTAGAAATAAAATGGAGTTTTACATCCTACTTTTCTGCAATTAATTGAGCTAATGAAAAACAGATAAATTCCTCAAATTGTTTAAGTAGATTTTAGTTTTCCATTCCATTTGCATGACTTGCATCAATGGCTGCAAATTGCAGTTGTTGATGTTTTGATTCCATTTGTTTGCTGAAGTGAACTTGCTGTCCATAAAACCATGTGTGTTAACCCATAGAAAAAATATGAAACAAAATAACCAGACCTGCATTCTAATCAGTTAGCACATATTGGGGTAGATTAGTGGAAAAAGCATAAATTTCAATCAGATGGCTAATGTTGTAACCCATGAAAAATAAATGAAACAAGAAATCAAGATCTGTATTTTTTTATTCAAACCTCATAAATGCCTCTAATTTTATCCCCTTAAAAAGTCATACCTCATTTTTGTCCACCAAAGATTTAATTTGTAAGGAATGTTCGGAAGTGTCAGATGAACGTTGGTCTGTTTTCTGTTTATCAATCTGTTTTGTTTGTTTGTTATAACGTCTGTATAACTTTTCATATTCTCGCTTCATTTTCTGGACCTAGAAATAACCAAATTTATAACCTGGGGCCTCATTCATGAAAACTTTCAGAGTCTCAGTTTATTGTCCCATCTGAGCGACCAAATCGGATGTTTTTTCTTTGTAAGCCTCTCCAATCCGGCAAAATATCCATGGACATTATGAAAAGAGTCATTTTTATGGCAGTACATTCAAGCTCATATAATTCCAGACTGAATTAATAACGAAAAATAAATTTGTCCATGACAAAAGATAAAGCCTACTGACCTCTGACCTAAGGGCAGCTAACTGTTCCTCATACTCCGTGACGATTTCTTTCTGTGTTTTATTACCTCCCTCTAATTGACTTCGTAACTCTTCAACCTGAAAATGAATAATTAAGTAAGTTGAGTTTAACATACTAGTTTTCTGCTCTTAATTGGCATAATGAAGATGGGCATTAACATACCCCTTATAGATTTTGAACTATCGACAGATTTTAAAGTTCAAAGTCTCTGTAAATTGGCTCATACTGAAAGTAAAATATTATTATAAAGTTATACAGATGATCTACTGTATTTCAGCAGGTTGAGTTCAAATATCAAAATATGAAAGTAAATATATGGATAGGTACCTTTAAATTGAGATATTTAAACATGACAGGACAACTGTATTTATCACTGGAATCCATTTCATGAAATTTTTCCTAATTCCTATTTATGTTTGATACAATAGTTATATTTGACAATTCAACATTTTTATCCAATATTCACAACAAAACTCAAAGAATTGTCAACTAAATCAAATCAAATCAAAGAATATTTCTTTATTAAATCTTAGATTAAAAAAACCTTCTTGACAAAATCTACTCAAAAAAAGCTCAAATATTCCAAACTCCATTTCAACCATTAAAATACAATAGTTCCAAAATCAATCGATAAATATTCTAAATTCAGTTTAACAATGTCAGAACGACATTTCTACAATCAAAACGTGATGACAATTCCATCATTCCATGAAAATATTTCACAAAAAAATTGAAGTTCTAAGAATCACTGCCTAATGGAATCTGATAAAACTTCACAAAATCTTATCAAAAAGAGTAAAATATGTGAAACTCCATTTCTACAATCAAAATTCTATTTTTCCAAAACCACTGCATGAGAATATTCCAGAAATATTCCTGTCAAGAGCTATGAATCACTGCGTAATGTAATGTAATAGAACAAGAACTATGATTCAATGGTTAATAATTTATAACCAGTGAGAAACTATACATAGTCTATTTTTATTACAACTTAATCAATATTATTGATTTTTTACTGAATCATTATTAAAGTTAGAGTTTCACTATTTCTACCGTGTTTTATTATGGCAGGTAAACTTTGTTATAGGGCTCGATCAATATTATTGATTTTCAATGCATCATTAGCAAGTTTGAGTGGCTCTTCAGCATATTCGAAACTATGAGTTATGACACATTTCTGCCATGTTTCACTATGGCAAGTAAACTTCATAAGAGCTTGATCATTTTCAGTTAGAAGTTCACTATTAAAATTGTTGTTGTGACGGGGTATTCTAGCAAGGCAGACCATGCTCATGCTCTTACAACACCTGACACCAATCTAGGGCTGGGTTTCTCAACTCTAAATTCCACTTATAATAAACTTTGCATAATTAAGATGTAAATATCAAGGGGCTATCAGAACACATGATATCACTTTTCAATTTGAAGAACTTCTCTATAAAGTTGGTCAACCCTAACTCAATGAAAATTAAAATATAGAGCTAACGAAATCAATACAGAATCTAATCTAAGTTAATTATCTAATTATTGATTTTTACCCAGCAATAGAGAATATTATTGATTTGTTAATGCTGTAAAAAAATCTCTTATTTTCAACAACAAACAAGATATTAAGAAAGAAAATTTTCAGTCTTGAGATAACACATTAAAAAATTAGGAAGGAAGAGTTTCAGTAAGTTTGGGGAATGATCTAAACTCTCCCACAATTCAGTTTTAGACAAGCTTACTTCCCTATTTTATGTAATGTTGAATAGAAATGTGATGCCAGGCAGTGTGTGCTTTCTCTCCAAGACACCTGATACCACTTTTCATTATGAAATAATGAATGTTAGACAGGATCATGTCCTTGAGTATTGACCCATGTAAAATAAAGGTTTATTATTAGTATATTACTCACTTATGGTTGATATACTCCCTTATATGAAAAGTTCAATAGATGCTACTAATATATTGCCAATATGTGGCTTTGGGTTTCGATTTTCATTTTGCTCAAATCATTAGTATTTTGGGCATGGCTTAATTAAAGTTAAAAACATCCTTAAATGTAATAAACTTACCTCTTTGCCTTTTTGTTCAGCTGTGGCTTTCTGTAAACGATATTCTTTATCTTTTAAGTCTAGCTTGGATTGAAGCATTTCTAATTGGCGCTGCCATTCCTGTTTTTTAGTGTTGACCATTATATCCAACTGTTTCATTAATTCCTGCAACTCATCCTGGCAAGATGAAGTCAGTGAGGATCTTGGCAATCTGAAATTTTATTGAAAAAATCATGAAATAAACATCCTACTTTTTTGCTGTAAATTGGGTAGAGAAACACAATGAAGTGTGCAATGATGGAAAATATGCAAAGACAATAGCAATTTTCTTTACTGACATATAATAGGCAAAAATTTGTTAAAATTATGAACAGAAGTTTAGTAGAAACTTACTTGTTGCTTTTTTGAAGTTCAATCCACAAGCCTGAAAGCTTCTCCATCTTTCTTTGGATCAGAGTTAAACTGAACTATACTGGTAACGGATCCTATCAACAGAAAAGACATATTGTTAGTTTCCATCAACAGGGAGTTGAATTTAATAAAACAATTTGATTACATATGCAATTTATCTCTGAATGTCTTTGGTCCTTAAGATATATAAGCTTAAGGTTTGATAATATCATATTTGACACTCTAAGCGTGCCGATATCCAATCTGCATATCATGTCCGAGCCCGAGGATAGGGTAGTGACCAGATTTGTCTGGCTAGAAAAGTATGTAATTGGACAGTAACTAGATCTTCCCCTGAGCCAGTAGACACTGATAAAAAGAAAGGGTTTGTCTTTGACTCCTTTACTTGAGTTAGACTGTTGCTGTTCATCAGTGACCATTATGATAGATGTACAGAATTTGCCAGCTTACAAACATATCTAGGAACATTTTGCATGTATTCAGATCAATAAAACAGATAATGAGATAGGATACTGTCATGCCTCATAAAACAAGTTTGTGCAAGTTGATAAAATTTTCAAAAATTTATCACAGAAATTGATAGAGCAAAACGATCTAAATGTCTGCTCAAGACAGCAATTTTTTCGTATTGGTTTCTGCTGAACACAATCTTAGAATTGCATCTTTTTGAAATGACGAATAAATAAGGGCAAACGTAAGAAACTTGCAGAGAAAATTAGGAATAAATTTGAAATTCTTACTTGAAATTTGTCTCCATTGTAAACATACCACAAACAGGTCGACTTCCGATACATTGTCGTAAAATTCAAAGGGGAATAATTAAATCAATTTCCGGTTCTAAAAGTAAACAAGTGGGCGTGTCCCATTGACTGTTTTATTTTTTACTTCTTGTGTATTTCTTTGCAATAAATATCGAAAATGCTGCTCGTTTTGGAAGATGAGCACAAAAAACACTTGTCCTTTCTGCCCTCGGTAGACATAGCAGGTAACTTTAGCCATTTTATTTAAAAAGATTTGAGTTAGCTTTGTTTTTCTCTCCAAACAAAATTAAAATCATGTCAATGTAATGATTGATTTTTTTCTCCACATTTCAGTTGTGAAAGAGTTTTGTAGAATCAGTATGGAATTCATCAGAAAAGGAACGAACCCTAAAGTCTACACTTCTGCTGCACGTAAGTCTGCATTCATACTTCAACTTCTAGTCTGTTTCTACTAGGCTTTGTTTTGGTTTTTTGAAACCTAAAAATGTGCCTTTTGTAGTCAAAATATTTCTGCCTGTAACCTTCAGCATGTGGACATTTCGTCAACTTAACCCATTCAGCTAAAGAACCTGAACTTTTGGACTCTGTTCAGCCTTGTACGAAGCTAACCTTGCTAGCAACAACTACCACAGTAGGCCTATTCAGGGTTGTTCTTATTAATGCATTTTTTTTCCCAGAGAAATTAGGGGTCGAGGCTAATTCAGTTCAAAATGGCGTGGAAGGTTTGATGTATTTATTAACAGAGGCTTCAAAATTATTGGTATGGTTTTTACTATAAAATGACATTCAAGATGCAGTATGCTAGTTCATTCTGAAGCTGCTATCATGAAGGTCTAGAGTTCAATCCAAGAATAGGTCAACATGATACTTTGGAATGTTTCAGCTTAGTTTCCCCCTGTCAGCTATGCAGGTCTGAGGAGCTGACAAGGAATAAATAAACCTAGACAACAGTTGGAAATCAAAAAGAGTTGACATAATTTTCTTCATTGCATACTGCATGATATTGCCTGTCTTCATTAGCCCAAACAGGTGCAGAAAAGCGTAATATAAAAGTCAAATTCATTCATCCAGTCATTCATTCATTCCAGCTAAATGAGATAGACTGCCAAGACAGTATTAGTTCATTCATTCTTTTATTCATTCATTCATTCATTCCAGCTAAGTGAAATAGATTATCAAGATAGTATTATGGTGCTAGGTTTCAGTGAAGAATTACGAAGCATGTTATTAGAGTTATATATAGAACATAGTGGTGAAATAAGAACTATTTTATCAGAATTATCAATGGATTTGCCACATTACCACAATCTAGAGTGGCGATTCGACGTTCAGGTCAGTTGGCCATTTTTATTTCAAAAATGCTTGGGGCATGGAAGGATCAAAGGCTTCTGATGAAGTGACCAAAAAAAGATGGTGTTTGGAGGTTGGACACTTTTCAAAAACACACATTTAGATGGTAGACAAGATCCTCTAAAACTGTAAATTCCTGTTTGGCATATTTGACCAAGCTGTGAATGGGTATGGATAATCCAGCAAAGATCAATTCTAAAAGGTTAAGCCAAGGACCAGCTGTTAGAATAAGTTGTTATCCTTGAAACAAAAAAAAAAGATTTTTGCCTTTTTTTTTTCTGATCAGATGAAATTTCTCAGTATGTTTTGTTCATGTCTTTTTAAATGGATCCAATAAGATGCTTTGAATTGCCATTTGAACTGAGATCACCAGCAGCACCTTCAGTTGTTATGTAGCCTCGCTAATATTTAAATTCACATTTTATCTTTCAGTTGGCCAGCAGATCTTTGAGAAGGCAGATAACTCCACAAGTACTGTTTAAACTACATACAGAAACCTACGGGGAGAGAAAAACCCAAGTTTTACAGACTGACCCTGTTAATTTAGTCCATTTAACGAAAGTTTTAGACGAAGCACTCCAAGAAATGAAGTCACCGTATTGTCGTAGAATAGTCAGAAATATCAAATGATGATTTTTATTTATTTTGTTGTATATTTTTGTAATAAATTGTTGCTTTATAACTTGTTTTAGTCTGGGACATTTCTACGTACTTGCAAAAATGATTGCACCATGTCAATTCTATTTTTCAAAAAACATTTGGAGGAGAATCCTCTCCAGGGAAGGGTTACACCCAATGCACTCCACATTTGGAATCTCAACCTGGACAGTTGTCTCCCCATTACGTCAGCCTCACCCCTGTGCTCCCTACTTGTACCTCCACTTCCAGACGGCTATAAGCGCATTATATTCGGAAATATACGGTATGTTCGCCACTGACAAAGTTAGACTTAAGACTGTGTATGTATAAGACTCTGTGACAATTGGAAATTCAACAAAAAGTAGGCTACTGTCAATGTACAGTCCAGGGTGACCGTACCTTTCTTCATGAGCTTTAACATCAGCTCACTTAAACCCTATCTCGCTTTACCTTCCTTCAAGATACCCTCAATTCACTCACTGCTAGCGTTTTCGGACACGATGGTTTTGATCAATGGTGGCTCATTGCTATCGTGTCATAATCTGCTAGCTAGTTAGTTATGATATTTCGTATAACTCATATTTTGACTTATTTCTCGAGTGTAACCTTATCTTAAAGTTTAAGCTTGTCTTAAATACCACGGAGGATTGACATACATAGAGATTTTCACATTCTGTTAGAGACACCATATCTTAAATCCCGTGGGGGGCACGATATTACTTTGGGAAGGGGGGGGGGGGGTGTCTGTTTCGACACAAAAAAACAGTCTTATAATTTTTTCATTTATTCCGTTAAGAAAGATATCAGTGTTTCACCCGAAAATTATCGAACCACAGTATGAAAACATACCTATTATAGTCTAGTTTATCCTACTACCAGGATCTTTGGAAGAAATGATAGAATGTTTGAGCTAGGGAAAGGGGAAGGGCTGGTAATATGTTTTAAAAATGTCCACACCAAACAGAGTATATTGCCATTTTTTGTCCAATATTTAACATTAAAATGCACGTAAACATGCAGATTTGGTTGACATTTGTAAGTTAAAAGTTTAAAAGCCTTGAGGGTATGTCGGTCACATTTGGTTTTAGTTAGTTCTGGCTGGCGAGTTGTTAGCAGATCTAAGGGACGATTGTTTTGTTTTTTTTTTGTGAAAATTTCCGTATTGTGTTCTTGGAATGAATTGGAACTACTTGTCTTGCTACTGCTTATAAGAGCACCTTGATCTTTTGAGAGACCCTGTGCTGAAAAGTTGGACGTAAAACTTTCGTTTCATTCGGAGATACCCGTCTTATATCAGTGGTGTGATTTTGGGTTAAGTGACGCATTCCAGGATAATATTGTTCATTGAGACTTGATAAGTTTTTTTTGATTGGGATTTTAGCAACGTCACAAATCCTGCATTAAAGCAGAACTATATTATTTTTAAAATATTTCATGGTCTCACCATTGAATGTGAAGTAATATTTGGTTTTAGTAAGTCATAATTTTATAGAGAAGAAATACATAGGACACCCAAAGGAATTTCTGAATACCGATATTTAAAGCTAACAACAAGTTTCTCGGGAATAAACAAGACCCCTTAAATTTAGGTCTGCCATTGTGTTAAAGGCACCTCTCCATCATCTGTGAGCCATTATCTAACGTAGACCAATGTTTTTAATAGGACTGAGGCTATTTTGACAGACGTGTTTAATGCGAGCCAGGCTTCAGGAATTCGGTGAAATCAGGACAAGTTGACACGAAGTGGCACATACCGTTGGAAACAAAATGGCGACCAAAGGATTGTTCCTGCTTCTGGTCCTAGTTTTAATTGGTAAGTACGATTTTAAATATATCTAACTTATTAATTAGCCATTGAATATTTCGCCATTTTAGTTTTGGAACTTTAGCTTGGATTATATGACGTGTATTTGGTTGTTTTCCAAGCATGACTTATTGCTATAGCTATTAGTTCAGAATTCCATCAGGATATAGGTTGTGATGATTCCTTTGGAATTTTCATGCATGCTTTGTCTGAAATTTTGTCGACCTTTGCACGAAATCAAATTGTCGAAATACCTTTAATTTGGGGCAGCTTTTGCTTGAGGAGTTACGGGTTAAGAACAGCTTTTGCTTGAGGAGTTAGGGGTTAGGGACAGCTTTTGCTTAAAGCAATGATATCCATTTACGAGCATCTCTACGTTTGTATATATATGGTCATGCGGGCATTGGCCGAAACTGTGTCGACCTACCCGAATTCTAATGATTGGAAAGGGGGTGGGGGTAGGTTTTTTTTGACGCAATAATATCCAAGTACGGCCATCTCAACACTCGTGCATACCATGCCTGACACGTACCTGGCAGACAACGACCTTTACAATCCTAACTGACGACTGAACTGTGGTTACTCAGTGTGCATTCTTCGCGATAGACGTTAATCCAACAAATATGTCCAGCTCTCGAAAAATGTCGACATTTTTGCATGTATTGGATCAAACATCTCAATAATTCGGTCACAACCAGGCATAATAATAATTGTATTACGTCTTAATTGACTACTGGACAAAATTGCATGAAGAGAAAAATCTTAATAACTAGGTCTTCGAAAGGGTAACGATTTGGCTGTAGTGTGGGGGTACGGGGTCTTAACTATCCCAAGGTTTCCCGACGGAAGTGCGATAATAACGGGATCTTTTTTATGCAATCGTTCAAAATTGTCAAGGGGCTACGAGATTGGGGAAGGGGTTTCCGAAATCCCCACCTACATAGAGATATCAATATATTAAAGAATCAATTCATTGCAGGAAGCTACAATGTGGAATCCCAGAGAAGATCCAGGAGGATCCGCCAAGGAAGCCGACGGAGTCCCAGTCCTATCGAACTCTTGGGCAAGATGTCGGACTCCTCGGGAAAGTTCTCAGTGGACATGTACCAAAGGTTGAAATCGTCTTCATCGAATCTCATCTTTTCACCAATCAGCATCTTCCTTTCCTTATCAATGACGTCATTAGGAGCTCGTGGCTCCACCAAGTTCCAAATCAACCGTTCTCTTCGCCAAGGCAACATGAAACGCTTTGTACATCAAGCTTCGCGGATACTTCTCAGCAAGATGCCAGAGAGCACCGGAAACATAACTCATCAACAAGCAAACGCCATTTTTGTCAGACGACCAATACCGATCCAGAATTCGTTCAAAACACGAGTTGCAAGATATTATGAAACGGAAATATACAATTTGAGCACGTGGTATCCGGAGCGCGAGATTAACCACTGGGTGGAGCGGAGGACGGATGGGCTACTGAGTGACTTCCTGTCCCCTGGGTCTCTCGGGGACTCCTTCATGATGTGGATCATCAACGCAGTGTTCTTCCGCGGAACGTGGGCCAAAATTTTTGACTTTAGACAAACGAGGCAGAAGTCGTTTACGCGGGAGAGTGGCATGACAACCCGAGTGGAGATGATGGAAATGATCGAATCTTTCCCGAGCTACCGAATGGAGAACATGCAAACTTCCGTATTAGAGATCCCGTACGTCGGCGGACAATACAGCTTTTTCATCTTTTTACCGGATACTCACAACGGCCTGCAGAGGTTAGAATCCGAAATGACTCACAGGCTGTTGGAGTCCGTTATGACGAACATGGAACCTCCAAAACGATTCTCCATCCAAATTCCTAAACTGTACTTGGACAATTCGTTGGATTTGGAAGGAACACTAAAGGAAATGGGAATAACGAAATTGTTTGACGCTAATGACGCCAATATTGCGGGCATTTCAGCTAATAACGACCTGTTCGTGGATAGCGTCATTCACAAATCCGTCCTGGAAGTTAACGAGTTCGGTACGACTGCCATGACGGTTAATCGGGTGTCTGTAAGTGTCAAGACGACCGTCCCTCAATTTATTGCCAATAGACCCTTCATGTTTATAGTCCGTAACAAAAAATATAAAATTAACATGTACATGGGTCGTTTCGCCTACCCTTAAATTCGTACCCATAAGGGATTCGTTTCGTTGGATTCAATAAAAAAATCAAATCTTTGTTTGTTCATTTTATGTTTGGACTAGAATGTCCTCATTATCTGACTAAAGGTCATTTTGAATCTGAAGACTTAAGGGAGATAAATCTGAATCCTGAGACTAAAGGGAGGTAATTTTAAATCTGGAGACTAAAGGGAGATAATTTAGAATCCGGAGACTAAAGAGAGATAATTTTGAATTTGGAGACTAAAGGGAGATAATTTATAATCCAGAGACTAAAGGGGGACAATTCTGCATCATTCTGGAAACTAAAGGGAGATAACACATGTAGATGTACCCCATTTCAATTTAGCAATAACTTCGAGTCAAATTTTAAAATAAAGCCTTTACTGTATTGCACCAACAATCTTTATAAAGCTTAACTTAGACAACTAGAAATATCAAAAATACCAATGTGAACCTTATATCTTGTCTAAATAAGACCACTGCCATTAAAAGCCAAATATGGACAATTTGGCACAAAAATAGAGGAGATTTAATTTATAAAAATACTAGACACCTTAAAGGTATAGTTGACAGTGTGCCTTTAATATCCCTCAGATATCCTTAAAATATCCTTAAAAAAAAACAGTACACTGAAATAAATATGTTTTCACCCACTACTATGGAAGCCCAATTGAGACATGGAACAAAATGTGTAAAAACAAGATACAAACCTCTTTGTCTTCAATAGACTACAAAATAATCCTTTTCAACATGGTACTATGGAAGCCCAAAATAATTCAAATAAGCAAATCATGATAAATTTAGGCCTCTTTTTGCTTCCACATACTAATATACAAGCAATTTTAATTCATATAATACTGAATGCCAAATTGGCATACAAATGAATAATAAGGCCTCTATTGACTTCCATAGATTTTGATTCTACACTCTTTGCATTAACAAATAAGGACAAAAACAAGTTTTCAAAGCTAAATAAGAAATATGGCAGTGATGGGCTTCCATAATGTACATTATCGTTAATATCCACTTTGTATTTTGTTCATAAACTCATAATATTGAAAAGAATCATCATAACTGAAGAAAATCCATAAATAATGCAAGAATTCCTATTGGTCAAAACCAATCAGAGTTCTTCAAATTTCTGAGTTGGGATTACCTTCAGTTACGATAATTTTATAATAAAACAAGGATTAAATAAATAAATGCATAAATAACAAAACAAAAATAAAACCGCTATGTTTCATCAGAAAATTCATAATTTTAAGATATCTTAACTACCAATTTCAAGAGTTTTAATTGGTTAAGAGCACAAATCAGATAACCAATCACAGTTCTTGAAAGTGTTCAGTTATGATCTTTAATTCATGATGTTTCTGACAAACAACCAATGAGATTAGGTTTGGAATAGAAAATAGGAATTTAAAAATTACAAACTCAAAACACTCTTTTACAACTATTCTTAATGCATACACTTCTAAATATTTACTTTACCAGCTGACAGAGCTTAATTTCAGCTATCTGTATAGTCTTCTAAATATTTACTTTACCAGCTGACAGAGCTTAATTTCAGCTATCTGTATAGTCATCTAAATATTTACTTTACCAGCTGATAGAGCTCAATTTCAGCTATCTGTATAGTCATCTAAATATTTACTTTACCAGCTGATAGAGCTGTATTCCAGCTATCTGTATAGTCTTCTAAATATTTACTTTAACAGCTGATAGAGCTCAATTTTAGCTATCTGTATAGTCATCTAAATATTTACTTTACCAGCTGATAGAGCTCAATTTCAGCTATCTGTATAGTCATCTAAATATTTACTTTACCAGCTGATAGAGCTTAATTTCAGCTATCTGTATAGTCATCTAAATATTTACTTTAACAGCTGAAGTCATCTAAATATTTACTTTTTAACAGCTGATAGAACTCAATATCAGCTATCTGTATAGTCATCTAAATATTTGCTTTACCAGCTGGTAGAACTCTACTTCAGCTATCTATATAGTCATCTAGATATTTACTTTACCAGCTGATAGAGCTCAAATTCCATCAGTTGGTAATACAATTATTTAAACAAATATACAGATAAGCTTAATTCTAAGTCTCTGGTTAGTAAAAGTAGATCTTGAAAATCATTTCAAATAAGTTTAAGGGAGCTTTAACAAATATTTTGCAGAACATTTCAAAAAGTATATTAACACCACTCTTAAAAGTCTTTCCACATGCAATAAAGAGATCAAAAAATTAATTGTAGTCTGGAAGCCAAGCTACCTCCCATGACTAAAAGTCTACTAGTTATCTCCCTTCATAAACCTGCAGACGCTCTAAACAGCAGCACATCAGATTTTACTTGTAATTCCAGGTCCTCCATTGCACCAGTGAAAAGAACGGAGCCTCGTTGAATTGAGATAGGTGTCGCTAGTGTAGGGTTGGTTATATGACCTTCACCTTGTATGACTATACTAATACTAGCGCTATTTATTGGAGCTATTTTCGTTGTTTTCACGTTGTCAGGAATCTAAAAAGATGAAGACATAATTCTTAATTTCATAGATTAAATCTTGTTTTCAGTGATGCAATCCAATGTCTTGCAGCCACCCCTGCCTCAGCCCATGCTTCTGTGTACCAACATACTAAAGGTCTCCTTACCTCAAATCTGGTAACAGAGAAATCTGGTACTGGTGGATTGAACTGGGTGACTTTAATATCATTATTCTGTTCAATTCCTTGAAACCTAGTTTTAGAGATTGGTTTACAGGTATAATCTAACATCTCACACAGTGTGTGTACGTCTATAAACTTCGGTGTTAAACCAGCTCTCACTACATTATCTGAACACGCCATACATTCCATACAATCTAAAATAGAGGAATAAATGAATGAATGAATGAATGAATGAATGAATGAATGAATGAATGAATGAATGAATGAATGAATAAATATATCTATATATACATTAATATATAATTATAACAAAAAAATTCTAAATGAAAGAATAACTAAAGGAAAGAATAACTGAATGGATTATAAATTACAGGATGAATACATGTATATACTTAGATCAATGCCAAGAGGTTTAGCCCAGGACCAGATAGTAGATAGAATCCTCATGAACCTAAATTGTTATCCTTCTATATTATAATGGTTATTCCTTTCTTCTTTTCTTAAATAGCTAATAACTAACACAATCCTTTATTTAATTGTACGAGAACTTGAAAAGTAAAGCTCTTTAAAAAATAATAAAACCTTACCTCCAGATAAATAAGCATGGGGCATGTCTGCCTCTAGAAACATGGCCTCTCCTGGTTGAAGAGTTATAATATTGAGAAAATAAATAGCGAAACCTCCAACATCTCCGGGAAACTCATTATCTAATTTCAGCAGTAGGTCACCATTATAGGCACTGATGTCTTCACCATTTTCCTCTGAAAATATCAAAGGATAGCTTAGGTTAGGTTAGGTTGTCTCAAAAGCACTGGCACAGGCATCAGAATGTTTCTTTCTTAGAGGAGGATTCAAACTCACTGCACCTATTAGCCTAGCAGACAAAGTTACAAAAACATCTTGCTGACATGTTACATAACACAAAATAATTCAACCTCAAAATAAAATGAAGTGTTCGTGTTTATGTTTTGAATGATCTGCAGATGTGTACAAATATCTTTGCTCAACTAAACCATGTAATTTTTTGACTTACTGAGTAATTTAACTCTAGATACTAGTTTATGAAGCTGTGTTTGTATTATCTCCTTGTCCTGTTCCATCAGACCCTTAAACGCGTCTTTTAATGCTTCACGTTGTAACAACATATCTGTTGCCATGGAAGCAGTGATAAATTTACACGCAGTTTGACATCCTATAACATTACGTAACTCTTCAATTTCTGAAACCAAAAAAGACATAAATAACTGAAATAGTCATAAGATACCAATCTCTACACGGCAGATTTTCTTTAACCCATTTGCTCCTGGTTCATGAAATTTTCCAACTGTCGAGGTATCTTCAACTTGTACAGCCTGTAGCACACAGAGCCTTGGTTTATAGTACCATCCGAATGGCTAGACACTTTTTCCATGTCAGCTCCTCTTAGCTGCATCACTGACTGGGAGAAACCTGGTTGAAAATAGTGGGCTAGGTTGTGATAGATGAATCCTGAGAGCAACTAGCTTTTTCAAAACCCCACATGTAGAATCTGAAGGCAAATGGGTTTTCACAAACTGAAGAAATCTCTTCCAATACTAGATCAATTCAGATTTATTGCAACACCAGTCATTCTGATCAGGGCTGTTGATTTGGCTCTGTTTGCCGGTCATGACCGACTGGGCTGCACAAATGGCCGACGGTTAATATCTTCTATCGGACATCAATTATAGGTTAGAAATTACATGGCATTCGATTTCTGATCCAAGAAAAACCCATTGAACTCACCTTGGACATATTCAGCTATTTCTTTTAACACTCGAAACCCACATAAACCTTGAAATGGGGTTAGAGCTATAGCCATCTCTGGCTTGTGGTTGGGATCTTTATAAATGTCTGGTCTAGTTTTATGGAGGTGCTCTGCCAAAACCTAAAACAGACAAAAATTAAATGGAACTTATTTGATATTTTTCAATAAATCTGAATTCAAGCCTTTTGGAATAAAGTAAAGAATTATTGGCTTTCTTAGGTGATCAGAAATTCTTATAGCGCTGAGCGTTCTGCAAGGAAAGGGGGAGAGTGAGACAGCTCAGGCGGTATAGAGTTGGATTATCGTCTGCTAGGACAGTGTAATAGATCAGTCAGTAGTTAGTTGAATTGTCGTCTTCTACAATTAAAACTAGTGCCCTTGGAGTGCATTCCTTTTTTTTTTAAGGAGACATACCTTATGAGGGTGGGCTTGTATAGACAAAGACTTCTGTACTGATAGAACTTTAAATAAAAACGGCAGCTTTCCTCCAAAATCTTTTTTCACCTCTGACCCCAGTTTATCAGGATTATCCTTAATCCATTGCTCTAAAGTGGTTTCAGTGCCATCAATGAAGGAGGGGCAGTTAGGATGTGTCCCCATCCATAGCTGAAAAAAAAAAAAAAATGGAGATTTACATCCAACGGTTTTGGCCTGGTTGGGTACTGCGAAGATAGTGTGTTAGCTAAAGTTGTCTGCTCGGTCAGTAGTAACTTGGATTGTCATGTGCTACGCAATTTGATGTCTTCAGTTTGAACCCCCTTCAAGGCAAGTAAAATTAGATGCCTCTGCCAGTGCTGTCTTTCATTTCTTCCATCAAATACAGCTGAGGCAAAGAGGTAGCTCAAATAGTAGCCAATAAGACTATCGTCTGCTAGGACAGTGATTAAGCCTGATTAACTTGTCATCTACGAGTTTGATTCCGATGCGTCAGCCCCTGCTTTTAGGAGTCGATCTTTGGCTTACCTCTGCATAGGGTGCATTGTCTTTGAGTTGAAAATCTTTGTTGCCAGCTTGTGCAAGTTTAGCCACTTCACTGTCTGAGCCGACTTTACCCCAGGCATATTCTTGTACTCCACATTTCAGAAGGAAAACTGAAATAACTTAGAAAATTACTACACTTTGACTTTTGGAGGTTTAGGTGTCATTTTGACCAATGATTTTGTTTGAAATCAATGGGTGCCATTGTATTTGGGGCCATTATGAATCATTTTGACTTTTAATGCTATCTGACTTGTGGCCATTTCGGCTAGTTGCCAAACATAAATAACTAACCACACTTTCTTATGCATTTAAAATAGAGTAATTAATTGTTGTCTGAGTCAATAGAAAGTTATTTCCCTTTGGACTATTGAAAAACTTGCCACATCGACCTCTACTAAATTCAGTAAAATACTGACATTTCAAGAATGACAATCGCCTGTTCCTTTGAATTACTGAAAAGAGAGTCAAAGAGCGCCATTTCTGCAAACTGACCAGACTTCTGCCATGTTATCTTAATGAAAATATAAGAATTTTAGTTGTTTTATTTACTTACCAGATCGATTAGTCGCCATTTTGGTGTAATTTCAAAATTTTCGTATCAAAAAATTATATTTAATTTTCTCTTGAAACCTAGCAGAAATTTTTGAGTTTCTTTAGAAAATATAAAAAATGTCCTCAAAATAGATTTTTGGAAATAAATTGATAGTAAATACGAAATTGCTATTAGAAGGAACTGAGAAAGAGTTTCGTTTGATGAATTCGTTTTTAGTTTAGTTCTTCCAGTCTTATTATTTCATTGAAGCACAGAAGACATTGGTTTGGATAATCAAATATTATTGACACTAAATGCAAGAAAGAAACACAATTTCAAAAAGGTGAAAAGAAAAGAAGAGAAAGGTCTTATTTTGATGATTTTTGCATTAATTTGAGAATTAAATGTTGAAAATTTGGGCTCAGAAGTACAAATGAATATAATGGAAGGTAATGATTTAGTCCTCGTTTTTTTGGGAGCTTCCGATTTGCAGAAGAAGTCTTGAATTTTCAGCTTTCAAATTGTAAACAAAAAAGGAAGGGGGTGGGGGGTAGTCGAAAACGTAGGTGTAGTGCTTACTAACAGACCGAAGTACAGAACAGATATAAGCTTAACAATCAATCAGTCAACTTTAAGGTGGTCTAGAAGAAAACAGAAAGAATGTCTTGTCACTGAATATGATTGGACCCTGGTTTACTTTATCTAAATAGCATGGTGCTCATATGATATTCACTAGTTTTCTGCTTGTGTACATTTAAACAAAACAAAACAAAACCTATGTGGAAGCATACATACACGCTACAGCCAGCAGTAGACCTTTTTCATTTGATTTAAAACTTCAGCAACATAAAAAAAATGTCCTCACCCATGTTCAAAATGATTTATCCACTGAATTATTACTATAACTTGTCATTCAATAACTGCTTGATGGGGTCTATAACTTAATTTAAAGATGGGTGCCTCCAGAATCAAAATGGCAATTCATAAGCATCAAATAAATTTGTGAGGTTCTATAGCACAGTTGGTTAGAGTATCGGTTCTTTACATGACGTCATTTGCTTGGTTTCAGCATGCGAAAGTCTAATGACCTAGAATAAGTCATCTTCACTCATAATTCCAGATGACCCAGCTGTAAATGGGTACAGATAATCCCGGAAAGATCAATTAAGATTTGCATATTGTTTATAGAAACTTTATGAAAATAATCTTAATCACCTTTCTTGCATTCTGGAAGTTTGTAAATGAAACAATTTGATTGGATTGTACGTTAGTGAATACAGCCAATCGTTAGCCTCCACAGAAAGTCTGTAAATAATATGCCATAATGCAACAGCCTTTCTGTCTAGAGCTGGGATTGACTGTAATCGCTAGCATGAAATCCAATAAATTCGCTGCATCTCGTGATACAAGAAAAAGTGCCAATTGCAGTCAAGGTATAAGTAGGAAGTTCAAAATAGCTTGACATTGTAAAGACCAGATGAGATTAATTTTTTAAGAGAAAGCCATCTTTAATCTAGCTGTATTTTATAGCACAGATGTGACCAGCTTGGTAATAAATATTTATTGTTTTATTATTATTTATTATTTTTTTTAATCTAAGGATGATCTTCTATAGTACTTTTTTCAGATGATCTCTTTTGGATAAAAATTTGACTATATTTTCACACCAATAGCGATATTTCGATATATTTTGATCAAGTGACTAACGTTATAAATTCCTCTACAAGTATTTATCCTGATACCGGTATATCACCCAGCCCTGTGTCTGGGGTAAAATAAAGATACACCAATCATTTATTTAGTCTAAATCTAACAAACTTCCTTTGTTTCTCTCCACTGTTTACCCAATACGGGCTATATGTTTCACTCTCCCATAATCCCTTGTATCACTTCAGGAACAAACATGCCCGCCAACATTTAGATAGCTGAAATTGTAATCGGGTAAACTGGCGTAGTAATATAAAACTTAATCCCTCATTAAACAGTCGATGACATTCCTAAATGCTCAGGGACAAAATAGTTCTGGGGGTGTGTTTTAGTGGTTTGAGTTCGTCTTGTTTACTGTCAAAAATAAACCATTTGAGGATCATTGGATGCCATTTTTGTCCTTTTCTTTGGCCATGGCTGACATTTGTATTGCTTGATATTTTTGCCGGTTTAAGGACAAAACTTTGATTTCTAAATAGAATAACTTTGACAATGCAAAAATCTTTAGTAAAGATTATTATCAAATTTTTTTGAAAGAAGGCCAGGTTTCTAGTTGATAATTATCTTTCATTAATGGAGTTTTATGTCCTACTTTTCTGCACCTTATTGGGTTAATGAGGAATTCACACCATGCAGTGTGCAACGGCTTAAAGCACACAGGGCCTTGGTTTTTTGTCTTATTAAACCAGAAAAATAGCTATCAGAGTCTAAGTGCGAATGATAAAGAAGAGTGGCAAACTGCACAATTTTTACGCATTTAATCGTTGCTGCATCTTTTGGTTTTAAGTTGTGTTAAAAATGCAGAAAAGCGACGACACATTCATTGTTTTTCAGTAGAAAATATCCCCGAATCTTCGGTAATGTTTGTTCGTAAGGTAGATTTCATCCTATTGGAGGATAAAGATAGAGACAAATAGACTTGATTACCTAGTAGACTAAACATAAATAGACTTGTTTGTCCAGCTTCACGATGTTTATTGTGTCTTTCACTATGTAACTAGTTTCTGGCAAGATCAACAACGCAGCCGACAGAACAATAAAACTCTCGAAAACCAGACGTGAAATCTATTTTTTGACGTGTCTATGTCTTTTTGTAGTTTACGTAAAAATCTTTTTTCGTTAGTTGTTGGACTGGCGAGATTTTTAATCGATTGGATTTGTAGACAGAGATAGTTTTGTGGTGAAATAGCCATTTCAGACATTTTCTTCGTTCGATTGGGAATCGTGTACTTGTGTGTGTTGTTTTCATAAAATTTGTCTTTGTGGTTTCGTGTAGTCGTTGCTGCGATCCTGGTACATTTTGTGCGTCTGCAGTTTTTCATCTCTTGCCGTCAACAAGTGAAAATCAAAAATTATGTTGCGAACATTTAATCACTGAAAATTTAGTTTTTGGTGATTCAGGTAACTTTATTTTACGGAAAATTGTTACTGAATTAATTGTAAATTTCAGTTTTGTAGTCTTGGACAAATAATTCACTGCAGGCCTATTGTACGTCTGCAACTTTTCTAAATCTTTGTCTTTGTTAGAGATCAAAGGATTATAAACAGACCTTTATTGATTACAAAAATAATGGAGTAGAAATTAGTAGACCTAAGAAATAATTTCTAAGGTGTGTTGTGAAAATAATGGAGTAGAAGAGAATAATTTTGGATATTTGAAGGACATTTTGTGCATTATTTTCTCCATGAATCCTAACATTGCCAGTATGCTTGCTGTGGCCTTAGAAACAGGTAGGTGTCCTGTGTCGTCTCTCGTGAAGATGAGGAAAGGGGAAGGGAAGGGGGAAAATTTTATTGGGGGAAATGGTATCAATTAAAATTGAAAGTACCGTAGTTCATCTAGTCAATGAAATGTTAAATAAAAGTGACAAGAGATGAGTCTCATTGCAAGCACTGGCCTAATATATGTATTGCGATACAAGGTTCACGATATGATATGTATTGCGATACAAGGGTCACGATTGCATATTGTATCGCAATGTCGTGTATCAATATTTGATGATACCTCTCATTACATAAAAAAAAATGTGGGTTGGTTTATGATATAACAATTTTTTTCACTGAAATTGTTAGAAACTATTTATAAGACAGTGGACACTAACCACTTCTATCAACTATATTACCAAATATCACAGTTATAAAGTTATGAATTAATATATATAGAAACTTTAGAGATAAAATGTTAATTTTTATCCCATTGCCCCATATTGCAATATGTATCATATCATGACCCTTGTATCGCAATATGTATCATATCATGACCCTTGTATCGCGATACATATCGTATCATGACATGATTGACGATACTCAGCACTAGTTGTAACCAATCAAAATTATCCTCGACCCCATCTATTAATTGAATTGCTTTGACTGGCTTAGTCGATCCAAGCTCACCCTTTGATGTAGAATGTGCTTACTTGATTAACAAACTTAATAATAATTTTTTTACACAGGAGCTTGAATCTTAACCTGATTTGAAAGGTAGTGAGGTGTTTGTTTAATTGATTAAGATTCTGTATTTGGAGTATTTTCTTGCTTTATTTATTTTCGTGGCCCTTCGGTCAATACAACATTGTTCTATATTTGTTTCTATAACATTTGATATAAACCTTGTTAAAAATAAACTTGCCATTCAGTAGGTTGTATGATTTGTAGGTAAATATTGTTTAAAGTAGAATTGTCTCATGGAAAATAAACTTGCTATTTACTAGAGGTGTAGGCATTGGTTGTAAATATTGTTTAAAGTGGCATAGCCAATTGAGAAATAACTTGCCTTTCAGTAGGGAGTTTGAATTGTTGGTAGCTATTGTTTAAAGAGGCATAGTCACTCTGAGAATAGTGCATTTTGAGTTGCTTAAAGGTGTATAACCACTTTAGAATTATTGTTGCCATTCAGAAAAGTGTACGCATTTGGGTGTAAAAATTGTTTTAAGGGGCATAGCCACTTCAGAATACTGCATTTGGTGCTATGAATGACTTAAAAGGGTATAACCACTGGGAAAATAAATTCCCCCCATTAAATGTGATGCATTAATTGTTTAAAGGTGTATAGCCACTTAAGAATTAAATTTACCATTTACTAGGGTGTATGAATAGGTGGTAGTATTGATTAAATGGGTATAGCCACTTAAGAAATACTTTACCATTTGTAGTGCAAGTGGTGTATGAATTGTTGGTGATATTATTTATAGGGGCATAGCACCTTAAGGTAGATTTGATTAAGATAAATAGGTCAAATAGCTATTTATAAACAGATCAATATCTATTTTAAACAAGGAGATGCCAGCCTCCATTGATTATGTAAAAAGTAAAGTAGACCAAATCGGAAAATTTAGTTCTAAGACTATTTTGTTTGTTTCATTGTCTGTTTACATCCTGTGAAGACGAATCAAATTAGCTCTAAAACTTGTATACGTGTAGCTTTGTGGTGTGCAGTGAGGGAATTTTTTCTCTATGGGGAATAACTAGATGGTTTTACATGTCTGACATGTCAGACCTTAAACCTTCATCATTAAAATCCACCATCTCGGCCTATGCTGGAACTAAAAATTTTATTGAAGAAAGCTCAGCTGATATATTGAGCCATCAGGGCTCTTGTTGGCCACCAGCCATTCACATCAATCACAATGTGATATCTTCATATTATAAAATATGTCATTTTATTTAAGGTGGTTATGTTTATTCTAGCAGAATTTAATCCATCCAAGCCAGGAAAAAAACCTGAATTAAGCAAGCGTCTTATTGACTGAGCCACCCCAGCTTTTAATGTTGAGAAACCTTTCACATCCGATCTCGATAGTGATCCATGTTAAATGGATTATCTGTAAAAAAAATTGTAAAATATGTCATTGTATATTTTTAGGTGGTCTACGTCTACCACAGCAAGGTTTAAATCCAGCGATGAATAACATGCCTCTAATGTTTAACCCTAATAAAGGTAAACCATTGATTACAGAAGATAGAAAAGGTAAGTTATATTAGTCTTTTTTCATTCATAACACTCTTAAAGGTACACTATCACTAACTGTTAGACCAATCATACCTAATTCTCAGTCTCATTAATTTTTTAGCTAATCCAATCAAAAATAGTGTTTATAGTTCACTGTTGAAATTTTAGCCTTCAAATCTATGTGTGTCCAGAAATATCCGCTTTTGAAAGTTTAAAATGATGACTCGTCAATTCTCGAGACTCTTCCATATATAGAATAGACATCTATAGAAATAGAAAGTGAAATTCCTGGTTTCAGATATTTTTTAAGAAATTATCCGATTTCGTACATTTCTAATACTTCTGAAGACTATTATTTATATATATTCAAGACTCAAATCAAAATGTCAAACCTGTCCCTTTAAATTATTGTTTCATTTCAGAAGAAATCCCCACTAGTACCACAAGTCAAGATAATTCAGCTACCTCCATGGTAGGAAGTAGCATGACACAAGGAATGACAGGGGGTGCCATGCAGAGCAATGCCATGACCGGTGGGGCAATGACAGGCGGTGCCATGACCAGCAGTGCCATGACTAGTGGTATGATGCCCATGGGATCAATGGGGTACCCAAGTTTGGGTTACCCTTCACCCATGATGGGACATGACCCGAATATGATGATGATGGGACAGATGGGACAAATGATGGGACAAATGGGACAGGTAAAAATATCTTGAAATTGATTTTGATTAATGACTAAATTCTAAGCTTACAATATGACTACATTTTATTTTTTTGCTTGTTTTTATTCTTCACCTGCACGAGTTAAATTTCGGCTATCCAGATCACTTTTCAGAATTAAAATCCGAAAATTTAAAAAAAAGCTCTGCCTATTTCAGGCTTTGGCATTTTTGTTTGCAGAACTTACCAATAACGTGATGTTATCTGTAATAGTGAATGAATTAATCCTGTATTCTATGATTTGATGTTTCTGTATTTCAGTATGGAGGTTATATGGGCCCAGTTGGACCTGGTATTGACCCCTCACTACCAATACAGAGGGATATTATCAACTTAAAAAGCTGTTCTCTTTACCCCCCTCCTCCAGGTAAGCCTGTTATAAATATTTTCTGGTACTTCTTTAACTGCTGCCTCTTCAACTGCTGCCATTGAAACAAAAAAAAGGAGCACATATTGTTTACAAGGATAAAAGGTTCACAAGGATCCTTTCTACCAGCTGGTCCTTAGCCAAACTTCTTGCCAGTGATCTTTCATGGATCATCCTTGCCCATTTACAGCTGGGTCAACTGGAATAATGACCAATGAAAAGATGACTTATTCAGTGTCACTTGCACACACCAACAGAGATGTAAAATTTTACACTGACAAAAAATTCATTGTAAAAAATTCTGAGACACCAGGCCATGGCTGTAACTCTTGATACAATCTTTCATTCATTGTGCCTGCATCTGATTTCAGGCACACCTCCAAGAACACACAGAGAAAGACCACCTGGATGTCGGACGATTTTTATAGGGGGGTTACCAGACACAGCGACTGAAGAGATATTGACAGAGGTCTTTGATAGTTGTGGACCAATCATTAGTGTACGCCTCAGCAAGAAGAACTTTGCTCATATCAGATTTCAGATGATGGACAGTGCTGATAGAGCTCTATTTATTTCTGGTGAGTGACTCCCTTTTTTGGGCCTCGGGGATGGGAATTGGAAGGGGTATGTTCAAGGGGGGAGAGGGTGAGATTGGCAGTGCCAAGAATTTTTAAATTAAACTTAATAGCAACTCTTTGTCTATCCATCTGCAGCAACTGAAATTTTATCTTTTTTTTTTGTAGGTTATAGAATGAAAATAGAAAATAAGGATGATAAACCTAACACTGGACGAATCCATGTGGATTACGCAGTAGCCAGGGACGACCAGTATGAATTTGAATGTCAACAACGTGCCTTGGCTAGAGAAATGAGACATCGGATGTCTGTTGAGGAAGCCAGACTTCGAGGACCTAGCCCACCACCAGTTACACATTTCAATGATCATGAAGCCTCGGTCGTGTTGGACCAGTTAAAAAGTAGGTCTTGTTCAGATTGCTTCCATGTTCAAAATCCCAAAGAATATGCTTATGACTCTGTCTTGGCGAAATTTCCCTCATTGCACACTGCACCATTCTGCCCAGTTTTCATTTCATTTCTAAGGTTTTGAACTAACACCCCTGTGTTTTATTTTTTTCCAGGTGATGAAAATTTCATCAAAGCGTCCATTACTCTAGTCACATGGTTAGAAAGAGGAGACTGCGTCCGTCGTACATCCAATATGTTCTTCAGCATGATTCAAGCCTCCAATTCACACGTCCGATGCCTGCTGAACGAGAAACAGCAATTCGAAGAAGATCTTCAGCGAGCCAAACTAACATTCCGTCAACAAATTGAAAGTATCTTAAAACAATGTAAGTAAATCTAAGAATTTTTTTTTCAAAGTCTGTCTTTTTTTTTTTGGAAAAAAAATGAATAAAATTGGAGCAAAATTCTGACTCTAAAAGTAAGAGATAAGTAAGAGATTTCAAGCCATTTTCAAAGGTTATCCCAAGATCCCATGTTATCAAGGCTGGTGGCTATCAACCAGTACAAATCTGATAAAAATAGCCAAAAATTTAGATGTCAACTTTTTGCTTGAAATCTCTTCTATAAAAACAACTATCTGTATAACCTACTAAAATACAAGTTCTGAGTTTTATAAATAATTCCTAAATTTTAAACATGTGGAGAAAATTCAAGTTGGAACAGGTAAGAGCTTGTTTTCATGAGAAATATCAGAAAAGATTTGGATACCCATTAGATGCGCGTATTATTTCTTATGGCAGAGATAACCAATGTAACCCAGCTCGACTGTCAAAATCTGTCTTGATTCTGAATTCAGACCAAAAATGGGTATAAAATTATAAATTCCTAGTGACGATAATCGATTATTTCGATCCTTCCCTATAAGAAAGAGAGACATTGTGAAGATGGGGTTAAATAAGATACATTTTCTAACAGTGTTCAGTCATGTTTTATTTATTCTGTGATGTTTTTCTCCAGTAAATAATAAATAAAGTAAAGTAAATAAGATACAGGTAGATGGTGTTCATGAGATAGATCAACATCTAGAGGGTTCACACAGTATATGTTGTCCAAATTAAATTAATCCTAGCCATCTTAGATACTAATAATGTCCAGGAGATTCAGTTTTGTTCATGAATTGTTGGTTTATACAACTTGGACAGCTGATGGGTGGTTCTTTTTTGGGGATTGGGGGGGTGGGGGTGAATATTTTTGAATAGTCTATGTATACAATATTAATTTTATTCCCTAGTTGTTTGGATCATGGCAGTATCATAACTAAAGCTTCATATTTCATTTTGGTTTGGGCATAAATGTTGGCTGCAAAAGTATATTCTGCCTTATATGTTGCAAAGTCCATAACTTATTGTATTGTCTGGTGATTTTAAATGAGGCTTGCACTTTTAGATAGAAAAACCCTGGAGGTAGACTTCGATTTATCAAAGTGTAACTCCCAAAGTCAATTGATACCCTAAAACAAATGTAGAAGCCTGATCATAAAACTGCCAAAACCACGTTTTTAAATCAATTTTTATTGAAAATACCTTTTCCGTGGTCAATATCTGAAGTTTTTACTTAATGTTAAAGAAATTGGGTGTAGGTCTTGGTTAGAAACTCTTAGCCATGTGAAAAGCCATACAAATCCTATTTTGTTCATCCTTCTTATATGTTAATACAACTGGAATACTCCAGTGAGTTGAAATCATAGAGAATGTAGAATTTTGAAGTAAACAATGCAAAGTTTCTTCTTCATCATTCTATCTTCTTTTGAGGTAAATGCTGAAAAACAGAATCAAAATTTTGTAGTCTGAAAATCTTTAATGGTGAACAATTGAACAACTTGTTTCAGTTTCTGAAATGAAAAACCCATATCTGTTTCAACTATGAGTTTCTCCATGTGGTTAGTACATTACTTTGAATGATTTAACCATGATACATTAACTTATTTTAACTTTGACAGGAACAGGTTTGTCATCTTCTTATTTCTTCAGTCAGATGGTTCAGTAAGTCAGAAGTAGTCTTTGAAACATCTTCACAATGTCAGGGTATTACGAACTTCGTCTTATACCTTGACACCAGTTGATACTTTTCTTGTAGCAGAGGATTGTTTGGAAAACATGCTTGCAAATTCAGCCAAATTCCGCCTCAGAAAGACTAACAAACAAGTTGTATAGGATACAGTCTTTCTGTTGAGGGCTTTGAATGGCTGTATTCACTAGCGTACAATCCAATCAAATAACAAACTTCAGTGATACAAGATAAGTGCCTATTGATGTCAAGGTATTAGACCAAGTTGGTAATGGATTGTGAAGATGTCTTTGGATGAAGTTAGAAGCGTTTTGTTCACTTCATTATCACAATGTCAATTTACTATAAACTCTGTCTAATACCTTGACATCATTAGGCACCTTTCATGTTTTAAGTTTGTAAATGTACATTTTTGATTGGATTGTATGCTAGAGATTAGCCAATCACAGTCCTGGACAGATAGATTGTAAAAGATACGATATCGTAGCTAGTCTTCCTGTTGAGTTTGTAATATCTTGACATTGGGAAGATGTATAAGACGAAGTTTGTAATATCTTGACATAGTGAAGATGTGTTTGGATGTAGTCAGAAGAGTCTAGAGCAGTGTTCACCCAATTTTTGATCTAGATACATGCGCCTTCTTCTTCATATGTTTCCTTTGTTTTGAATTCTTATTTTGGGACATTCATTTCTTCAAGTTGATCAAATTGACAAGATATTTGCTGCTGCATCAAAACAGAGATGTTGGGATCATTTTTCCAAGGCACAGAGAAAGAGTATTGAACTCTGGAACAAGCAAGCCAAGGTAGGTCCTGTGGTCAAAGAGTCATCTACTGTGGACTCAGAAACAATTAATAATTTAGATAGGTTGATTGACTCAAAGTAAACATCTATAAGTGTTATTGGGAACACTTAACAGGTGTCGCATGTGAAGCAGACCATGCTTTCTTCTTTCCAAACACTTGATGGTACTTCTCGCTAGAGGAGTCCACTACTATAGCACTATTACTATTAATTTGGCATTCTTTGGACGAGATTTCGCTTAATGGAATTGTCTTGCTTGTACGGATTTTTATTACATACTCTTTTAATAATCATTTTGAAAATAATCAACAAGAATCTTATCCTTTTGGCAATAGTGTATGGACCAGTTCATTATCCACTTGAACAGTTATGGTACGTTAATTGTTTCTGGTTCACAGGCAAACACATATTTCTCTTTCAGAAATGATTTTTTGACCTTTTTTTTTCTCTGTAACAATATGGGTGAGGTGGTAGATTGTGTGTGTGTGCTTCAGTATTTTAGAAAGATCAGAAAAGTCATATCTTAGATGCAGCTTGGTGGAATTAGATCTTTTGACTTTAGAAAAGGATTTTTTTCAATCTTGTTGCCCTGAGATGAGACTTGCTTGTCTGTTGAATCAAGAAAACTGCAGATTAAAACTTTAACTCTTAAGCGAAAGTCAAGAAGCATTTAGGCAGGTTTCTTTAGCCAAGCAGAGAATGCTTACTCTTCTTGAACACTGGTGCCAGTGAATGATTAAACTAAATTCAGAACTGATGGAAACCGATCCACTAAATAGCTAATGAAACTCTTTGAGTCAAAGACCAAAATTTGAGAATTTGAGTTCCACTATTAAAAGCAAGCAGAGCATGCTAACTCTTTTGAACCATTGATGCCATAGTGCAAATTCAAAATTCATGCAAATAGATGCTGTAAAAAAATGGAAGAAATGTGGTGTTAAGAGTGAATCTTTGCATGGAACTTTTTCCTCAAATATTCCAATGAGGCTCAAAAAGAAAGCACCATAAAAAAATGCTGCAGTTTTCTTGAATACAAGGTAAGTGCTTGAATGAAAGAATGGAAAGTCAGAAATATGCCGAGGACTGTGGGGTATGGTACGCTTTGCTAAATATGTGTCAATATGTCCGTGTTCAAGTCAAAATATCCATCTAGAATTGCTTAGCTTTGTTGTGCTTCCTTGAACATAGAACCAGTAGTCTCTGTCATTGAGGACTAACGAAAGAGGTAACAGAAAACACGGAAAATGAGCTGGAAAATCAAGGCTAAATGGATTCAAAATGGAGGTCTAGCTTAAGGTAATATGTTTCGAGTACAATAATAGTCTGAACGAGATGGAGACACTTTTAGCAAGGATTTGCTACGTCCAGGCATCTATGAATGCCAATATTGTTTTACTACTCTAATATTTGTTTGATTTTTAAATTTGAGGTCATTTCTGAGACTTTTTTGGTCCTAATTTGATGCATATCTTGAAAAATCTTTTGATGAAGTTTACAATTTTACTTTGGACATGCCAGGATGAAACTTGGGCCTTGAGATTTTTTAGGTAACAAGTTCTTGACTCAAACCTATCAGAGACTTCCAAAACTATGAAAATTATCTTGTCCTTTGCACCACTTAGAACTGAAAGTCTGTAGTATTTTGCTTTACAGAAGTCAAAAGTTCATAGCAAAATGTCACAGAAATGGCCTCGAATTTACATTTTGGTAGATTTTTTCTGCATTACCAGAGTTTTACATAATAATCCTTTCTTTACAGATGGACATTCTCAACAAAATTATTTCCCTTTTACATTACTTGACTAATTTGTCTTGATTTTGCATTCCAATTCCAAACCTTCTTCCAGGAGATCCACATAAACCAGCAGGAAGAATTCCTGAATGAAAGGGAAGAAGATGAGATGGATCTATCAGACCAGGAAGATACAGAGGTAGAAGGGGACAAGCCAGAGGCTGCTGATAAAGCTGATGCTGAAGGAGCACCTGTTAAACGTAAACGCTTGGATTCTGGATCAGGTATTACACCTTTTGAGTCATTTGAATCACAGAAAAATACTGTTCTGCTGAGCTACCAAAACCAAATGCTTAAAGGGATTGTAAAGAGGTTTTTCAAACATTTAGTTTTAGTGGAATTGCAGGAACCACAGACATCTGACTAAAAAATTTGATTTGAAATCAGATATTTCTACCTGAGCATATATAGCCAGTCATCCTCAATTTTAATTCCTTTTCATCCATTTTTTTAATTATTTGCCAACAGGAAGTGATGTCGTCCAGAGTTTAAGGGAAGAGAATGACTCGTTGAAGTGCCAACTAGAAGGTTATAAGAATGAAATAGATTTAATCAAACAAGATTCCCTAACTCAAGTCAAAGCCTTACAGAACACTTTACAAGCCTTACAACAGGTAGGTGATGGTTTAAAGCCAACCCAGGATCTTCTCTCACAGAGGCTCAAAGATATTTTTAGCAGATTTTTGCAATAGAGATGTCATAAAAGACATTGTTAGTTTTAGAGGAATTGCAGGAACCACAGACGTCTGACTGAATTTTGAAATGGTGTAAATTGATGCTATCAGTGTTACCGATACACAGAAAAAGTTGCAGGAACCACAGACGTCTGACTGAATTTTGAAATGGTGTAAATTGATGCTATCAGTGTTCCCGATACACAGAAAAAGTTGCAGGAACCACAGACGTCTGACTAGAAAGTCACCTTCCTAAGCCTCGTGATTAGTTAAAGTTATATTCTTTATTTCAGCAATTACTAACAGCTCAAAAACACATCGCCTCCCAAAAACCAGTCCCACCATCTAAAGACAGCAAGATTACCATTACTGAAGATGATCATGTGGCATCCAAGAAAGACGACTCCAAAGAAGCTGAAGAGGAAGCAGATGTGATCACCATTAAAGATGACGAGGACCTTCCCATAGTAGAAGAGGTTAATGACACTACATCTGTGGTACCATTGAGTCAGTCTTTTGGAAAGGAAATGGCGGTGGAGATCATCCCTGTATTTAAAGTGCCCACTGATCTCGGAGAGTCCACTGTCACCAGTTCTGGAATTAATTTGAATCCTAAAGAAGCAAAATTATTGGGTAAGCATCTTCATTTTGTGGCGATTCCTTCGACCAATTTACTGCCAACAGTGGCGTTGTTAAGCATTAAGTTTGGGTCATGGCCATAGATGATGATGAGAACATAGTGTCATAAAAGCACTGGCTTAGGTCACAAAGTAAAGATTTATGATGAAATATTATATTATACTTTATGGGGTAAGCATCTTCATTTTGTGGTGATTTCTTCCACTAATATACTGCCAACAGCGGCGTATTTAATTTGTTATTTTTGGGCTGTCTAAGTCCTAGTCCACAATTTGTCATTGTGAAGGTTTGATATAAGTCAGCCATTTTGTGTTAGATAATGATGAGAGCTTAGACTCATAAAAGCACTGGCCAAGGTTTCAAAGTAAAGATTATGATAAATTTTGTGTAACTTTTTGTCTTTGTTTTTCAGGTTTAATTTGTTGTTTCTTGCACGTTCATCCATTTGGAGCCACGGTGGATTACCTATGGTCCTATCTGAATCAGCTTGAAATTGTCAAGCCGCGAGAAGTGGAAGATCTCTTGGAAAGATTCCCCATGCTGTTTAAGCAGATCGTTCATGGCATTGGCGCATCCATAGAACGAAGATGGAATTTTTGCGGATACACGAATTTGACTGGATAAAGAACAATAGTGCTGCAAGAAAATTAAACTTTGTGAAAATGTGATTTGAACGCATGAAGGCTGTAAATTATACAAGATATGGTTGACACCCCCTTTTTTTTGTATCAACTCTTCCACACTTACATTTTTTTAACTAGTATGACACCTATTAAAGATGTACGAGATAAGTTCATTTTCAAAATAAGGGGTGTTTTGTGTGGTCACATAACTAACTTGAAAAATGAGAACAAAATTCAGAATCACTTTCAAGAATGAATGAAATATCCCATACAATATAAATGAAACAAATTAAATAGGATTGCATTTTGAATTATATTACCCAATTGTGTATAAATATAAAATTGGTTAAAAGATGATTTGTAATTTGTAGAATTAGGGCGTGGATTTGCTAAAAGTGTTTTTATTTTTGTTTTGTTTTTTTTTGTGAATGAAATCCAGTGGTATGTTGAAAGGGAACAGACATATAAATTTTATCATCATTTTCATCCAAGCCTTTTAAATGTACTGTACATGTGAAATATATTTTATTAGCTATGTGGACTCTCTGAAAGGGGTGCCAAGAGGATATATACCAAATAAACTTTATTAACTATGTGGGCTCTCTGAAAGGGGTGCCAAGAGGATAAAAAAGAAACAAGGGATGTAAATTTGACAAACCCAGTTACCAAATGTCCTAAATAAACATTATTAGTCATGTGGACTTTCTGAAAGGGATGCTGAGTTGACAATCTAAATACTAAATATACATTATTAGCTATGTGGACTCTCTGAAATAGATACTGAGTTGACAATCTAAATACTGTATAATAATTATTAGCTTTGGACTCTCTATGTAAAGTTGACAAACCCAAATACCAAGCTAACATTATTAGTTTTGTGAACTCTCTGAAAGAGATGCCAAGTTGACATTATCAGTTGTGTGGACTCTCTGAAAGGTATGTTAAGTTGACAAACAATAAATACCCAATAAGCTTGAATTACTTTGTGGACTCTCTGAAAGAGATGCTAGGTCAACAATCCTATTGGCCAACTAAACACGATATAAAATGAAATAAAAAGGAAAAAGGAAAGGAATGGAGTTTTACGTCCTACTTTTCTGCACCATGTGGGCTAATGAAGACGGGTAAAATGAAATAAACATCATGTTATATGTGTACTCTTGAAGATGCAAAAGGTTGAGAAGCCCAGTCGCAGAGTGGCATAAAGTTTGTCTAAGGTGGGGGCATTTTAATCACGATATTTTGATAACTGGTCCATATTGTAAATTGAAAGCTGATTGGACAATATTCGAAATCAAACAATAAATAATCTCATAGCACTGCATGGCGTTGACTGTCTTCATTATCCTACATAGTGTGGAAAGGTAGGACGTAAAACTCCATTTCATTTTAAATAAGCTTGTTATGATTATTTTTAGGAATTTCTAAAGAAAATGTCTTTTCAATTATGGTTAATGTGAAAACGTTTCATGCCTGTTTTGCTTTGTTGTTAAATTATGTATCAAAATGTGTTCGTTTTTGTTATTCACAAAATCAAAAGGGGAACCAGAAGAGGTACGTTGATGTATATCTTTGTACTAATACCTTGACTGCAATGGCCTCCTTTCTCGTATCATTTAAATTTGTAGATAAAGGGTTTGATTGGATTGTACAATAAAGAATACAGCCAATCAGAGTCTCGACAGAAAGTCTGTGAACACAAAACCATAGTATTCACTGACATACAATTCAATCAAATCAAATCACTGTATTCCATGATACAAGTAAGATGGCAATTGCAGTCAAGGTATAAGACAAAGTTCGTAAGCATCTAACTCTGGGTTACATTCGAGAGAGTGGTCCACTGTATACTATTGTCTGTTTATAGAAACATCAGACACCACCTAACATATCTTCACAATGTCAAGCTATTACAAACTTATACCTTGACTGCAATAGCCACTTTTCTTGTAAAACAGAAGTTTGTAAATGCAGCGATTTGATTGCATTGTAGGCCTACGTTAGTGAATTGCATTCTAAAATACAAGTTTATGTGGCATATCAAACTAACCGTGACAAGTTCCTGTTTACGACAAAATGCCGGAATCTCAAGGGTCAATAAAATAGAGATGGCGTCTTTACATGTTTAAATTCAACAGTTGTTCTGCTGTTAGCAAGAAGAGAGTAAAGCAATCCATAGTCTAACAGAATGATGAAAGCAGGCGTTTTGTTGTTAGTGTTTGTTTTGATTATGGTGGGTCAAAACGTTGATCAGGTATGGCTTTGTTTTTGTTTTAGTTTTTTACTAAAGTGCGGGGAATAGTAGCCGTTTTTGTCGCCGACTCGAATCTTCAGTAAAATGTCAATTGTGCCCTTGCCTCCTCCTCCCTCCTCCTTTCTTAAAAACAAATCCCCCCCCCCCCCCCCCTTCGGACGTAAACCGGCCTCCGCCACAGGCCCAAACCAGTCAAGTCCCCGGGCCTCGGCTCAAAATGAGACACTGTAGAGATATATGACGTAAATCTCCACATAATTTCATTACTTTCAGGTTGAAGGGTGTTATTATTCCTCGAATGGATGTAGAGATAATGGTTGTAGATCAAGAGGGGGCTATTGTGGTCTTTCACTTTTCGGATGTCGTTGTCACTATTTTAATAAGCAAAAATAAAGAGATCGAGATTAGGCCTATTCATTTTCGTCTTTGGATTTTTTTTCTATGGCAACGAAATCGAACGGCCTTTCTGTAGCTTAAACTATTACCGTACGGTAATAAACTATTATCATTATTTCATGTTTATTTTCCCTGTTCGACGAATTCCGGCATTAGAATTTGTGGTCTGAGTATTTTACAAGGATTTGTAGTTATCTCCCTTTGTCATCTTGCGCGTGCAATTTATCTTTGGCGCGATGACATGGCGTCCATGAAGAAACACAAGACGTACTATATTTATGTTTGGTAGAAAGCCCCAATCTGAGAGAATGTGATGGGGTCAGTTTGCCTTTAGTCCTTCAAGTTGAGTATGAAGTCTTGACGGAGCCTAAATAGGTAAGATTTTGCGTAAAACAGCACAAAGCCTGCTCCTACCGGTGCATTTCTCAACAAGACTTAGAAGTGATCTAAATTTTTCATGACGGAATTTCCCTCGAAGCTTAATGTCTGTCCCCGACTGCCCCGTGTATTAAAGGATATGCACTGACAATCATTAAAGGTTAACCGTAGGGTAGGCCTAGTGCCTTAGACTAATACTGTAATGTCTTTGCAAAATTTCTGTTGGCAAATTACATGTCCAAATTCGAGCAGAAATCTAGGACGTATAACTAATTCCATTTCGTTACTATGTCTACCACTTGCAGACACCAATCACAAATAACGTGTTGATTATTTATGATCTGAATTGTGATACGATAAACCATAAAAATTCATAGCTAATTTCAGCGCTTGGCGTGATTCCCTCGACAAGCGTCATCCGATAATTTTGATCTCGGCGTTCCACGATCAAGTATACCTTTACACACGATGCCGCCATTTGTTTACGTTATTGCAGCTAGGCTAATATCTCGTGGGTCTCGTCTACATTCGAAATTTCCCGTTAGCATAAAAATTGCGGTTCGGAGCAGCTCATAAAGTTTCGTTCGCTGCTTTTTGTCGCTTCACACATTTAAGAAAGATAGCTAACGCCGATTCTGTTTACCCAAGAGACTCTTCGTCATATCGTGATTGATCAAATTTCTCGCCTTACGACTCGACCAGGCGTGAGTGTTAATATTGCGTTTCGTAAAAATGGTAAAATTTGAATATGGTTAAAGTTATGACTTATGATAAACGTCATCTTTGATTAACGCTTCAGATGTAACAAGAAAATACAGCCTTATTTTAGATTAAACCTTTCGTGGGGGTTTTAGTGCTATGGAAGGGGGGGGGGGGCATGATGAGGTGTCTCTGAGAGTTTAAGTGCTATAACAAGGGGTGGAGGGAGTGGGGGATAGGCCATGCCCTACACTCGGTGCCTCTTAATTGGGTTCCTCAAATGGATATTTCGTACCAAGCAATTGATTCTTGCTAGCCTACTTTAGCTGTTTTGAAGTGGTGTTGAGAGGTCCGGGCATGCTCACCCTTCGCCAGAGCAGGACATTCCGTGTCAATACAGCTAAAGGTGTAACTGTGAAAACGTTTGCAGGTCTCTTTCATCTTCCAAGCTATTACGCCTTCATCTTATACCTTGACTGCCTTGTTTCACGAAAGGTTGTGAATACAGCAATTTGAGTAGATTGTACGTAAGCGAATACAACCAAAACTTGAGGAAGACTAATAAAAAATTACGCATGAAATCGAGGGCTCTGACTGGCTGTATTCGCTGGGGTACAATCCAGTCAAATCGCTGACTGTGAAACAAGATAGTGAGCCATTGTGGTCAAGGTATTAGATAAAGACGTAATAAACTGAAATAGTTTCCAGGTCTCCGGTAACGGATCATGCTCTCCCTTTCGGTGCACCAGATACCACTGCTCAAACCCTTCGAATACGAGTCAGGAGCCCGTTTCAAAGAAATACATGTATATTTCTGAAATAATGAAGTGTGCTCATAAACAATAAGAAGTAGTAGACCTGTGGGAACTTGGCAAATTATTCAAAATGTGAAATAAAGACTTATTTAACACAGAAGATGACATTGCATGTCAAGTTGCCATTTAACAATCTCATCTTTTCACGCCTTACTACAAAGGTTAAAGGCATTAAACCCTCTACAGTGCAGACTGGCTAGCAATACGGACGATAAAAAGCGAAACGAAATCGAGTTTTACGTCGAAATGGAATTTCTTCAAAAAGCTCCAAAAATTATGTTTTATTTTCTACACTTCTGTTTAGAACGGTGGGATGCAAAACTCCATTTCCAATAAGGTGCAGAACAGTAGGACATAAAACTCCATTTCGTTCATTTTATTGGGCTAATACGTAAAACTAAGCATATTTCAGTATCCCTTTTTCTGTGATACTATGAAAGTGGAAGCGGACATTAACTAGTCATCTACCAACAATTGTCACCTATAGTCTTGGATGCGATATTAGTTAACTGGAAGAGGGTCTGATTTTGTCTTTTACCATCCTCGACAAGTGGTTTACTTTTGATAACAATCTCTTCTATTAGGGTAGCCCACAGAACTAGCGGAGGTAAAACTTCGTTTCATTTGAAATGTCTGTTTCATTATACATTGTAGATTGTTATCTCGTGTTCATTTGTTGAATTTCTTCACACCATCGGACGGGAATAACGGTTGGTCAGTTTTCAATGGCACATTTCAGTCTCAAAGGGTGCTAAAATATTCAACAAGTTCCACGAGGCTATAAATTATGTGTAATAACCGGTCAAGCACCAATGACCAGCACGAAATGAACGAAATATTATAGACTTGAGTTGCATTTCAATACGATTGGTCAAGCGCCAATGATCAGCACGAAATAGCGAAATATTATAGACTTGTGCTGCATTTTAATTCGATTGGTCAAGTAGGCCTATCAATAGTCCCCAAGAATAAGCCACTCCTAAACTGGTTAT